ATCTGCAGTTAGTTACACGAATTCAGATATGGGATGAAATCGGATAGGGATGAACGAGTTTAAGAGTTTTTAAGAGTTTTAAGAGTTTTAGTCAAATGTTTTATAATATAGTATAGATATATATATATATATATATGAAGGATCGTGTGAGAATCGAAGTTAAAATGAGAAGCGTAAGAAGGGATCTGAACTTTTGACCACTTTTAATCTCACCTCATCCCATGGATTGCACTTATCACGGGAATTGATGTAGTGCATCTCAATACACCGCATTAGTGTTGATCTTCAATTAAGATTAATCCATGGGTGGAGATTCTTTCTTACCATAACTTATATTCTCACGGGGGATAAGGGTAATTGATGCCCAACGTCATGTTTCTGAATATAGAAGGAAAAAAAAGGAGAGGGAAGGAAGAAAAAAACTTCTATTTACGTTTTTTAGAGCGAAGAAAAGAAAATAAAGTTTCATGGTTTTCAACAAGAGAGAAAGGAAATGAAAGATGTCAACTTTAAAAACATACCCTTTTTTTATTTTACATCAGAATGTAAAATGATGGTAAAATGTGTAATTCTATAAATAGTTTTAATTGTTGTTTTTTTTTTCTTTTTTCCCCTTCTCTTTCCTCCCATATTTGGGAGGAAAGTTTTGATAAAATTCGGCTTCGTTTTCCTTTGTTTTCTTTTCCTTTTCTTCCTAAAATAACTCGAGAACAACAGATCTTTTCTTTCTCCCTCCTTTCTTTCCTTTCCTCCGTAAAAAACACTCAAGAACACAGCGTAACAGATGAGGTAGTGTGGGAGGATAAAAGGTGAGTTGGGGAGGGTTGAGAGTCTTCGGATATATTTGTTGTAACGTTTGATAGTGATACAGATGTTTTTTACTGTGTTTTGTGTGCTTTTTAGCTATGTACGATATTTGCATTCCTTTATAATATATGTTAACCCCTTTCTTTCATGTGGGATATATTGAGTTTGTTTAGTTTGGTGTTGTATACCATGCACAATCACATATTATGTTGTCGTTTGATCATTATTTGGCTTTAGATTTGTTGTGTTCAATGTTGTAGCCGATAAATATATGTTAAACCCCCTCCTTTCATGATGAACCTTATGCATGTATGTAATTTGATAGTGTTGAGAAATTGTGTGCAATTTTGGTTTGGGATTTGGCAAGTTTCCCCCTCTTATGTTGTTGTACACTTTACGATTATGAGTTATGGGTAATAAAGAAACACATGTTTTAACCACAAGGGTGGTGCCTGATTGGTTTGAGTTTGACTCCAAAGGTCAAAAGTATCTGGAGGTCCCAGGTTCAAATCCAAGGAGGAATAAAAATCCCCTTGTGGCCACGGAAGTTCAAATGCGGTGACTCCGGGCTATCTGCAAAGCAGGTGGTCACCCTAGGATTAGTCGGCTCGCATAGCGGATTGGATATCCAGGTTAATAAAAAAAATGCATGTTTTTTTATATATGATCGTGGAATCCTACAAGACTTGTTTCGAATAAGCATATGTAGGGAAGCTAAGATTTGTGAAAACTAAACATGTAAAGGTACCTTCAAAAAGCTTATTCCCACAAGAACCATTCACTTTTGCTATTCCAGAATCATATTTTGCATATATTCTCTCGACCCAATTCAATTTAGCTTGTTAGTATTTGATTTTGTTGATAAATAAATGAATTTTTGCTTTTTCTAGCTTTTTAAGCAATATCCGTTGCCTTTTTTTGTAGGTTTCTGTTGCTCATTATTTCAGTAGAGACGTAGACTACAATTCAATAGATTTTTGGATATATTTTTTATCGTATATGTACCGATTTAAGATTAGCAAACCAACATGGTTTAAAGCCATTTCACACATTCCATCATGGGCGGACCTACCATGGTGGTTACGGTGGCACGTGTCACCGTATTATTTCTCCGTCGAAGGGTAAAAACATTTAGGTTCGTGAAAGGTGCAACCGTATCAATCTGTTGTGTGCCACCGTATGTATTTTGAAACTACAATGAGAATAAGTTTTATTTGGTAGAGTTAGTTTGCAAGGCTTTTATTCAACTCCAGACCCAGATTCAAATC